TTTGTCTTTGCCTCCTTCTCCCGTTCTCGCTCCGGGAAAAGGAAAAGAAAGGAGGCGGTGGCGGCAAACGCCCGGCGCGGTGATAGAGGCGAAGCTCTGAAGTTCAGCACCACGGACAGCAGTGCCGACGCTGCAGATTCCGGGAGCCCGGCCACCTCCCTGTCCCCGCTCAGCCACTCCGGCGAGGCCCTCGGCTCCGCGGCGGGAGGGTGGGACGGCTCCTCGGCTTCTGGTGGGGAACTAGACAAGTGAGGAAGAATTGGGGAGGGGGCGCAGCCAGACAGCGGGGGCTCCATCGGAGGCGAGAGGGAGGAGGAGCCGCCCGAGCAGGCAGAGAAGCCAAAGGAGGGGAGGGGAGAGGAGGGGAGGATTTTCCCATCAGCTCTCCCTCCCTCCCTCCCTCCGCCCTCTCTCTCTCTAGGTTGCTGGTGATGCTGCCTCTGCTGCTAGTCGCGGCGACAACACCGGCTGTGTTCCCTGCTGCTGGCGAATGATGAATACAGGAGGCGAGCGCCTCTGAGGCAGTTCCTCTGCGGCGAGAGGGTCGCGGGCTCTGGCAGGCAGGCAGGCTGCTCCCTCTCCCTCTCTCCCTCTCCGAAGAAGGCGCGTCCGGCTTCCCGGTTAGCTGTGTGCGCGCCCTACGCCGGGAGCCTAGCTCGAACCAGAGCCCCAGCTCGGGGGCTGCCAAAGGAAGGGCTCCGCTGCAGTGGCGCCAGCCCGGGCCGCGGGAGAAGCCGCCGTTCCCGCGCCCACTCCTCCCCGAAGGGTAGGCTTCTCGCCGCCTGGTTGCTCAGAGAGAGCCAAAGTCCCGGGGACTTCTCTTGGTCAGTAGTCAGACGAGGAGGCGGCAGCCAGAAGGAGGTCAGCTGTTGCCCCCACGGTGAACGAGTCTGTCCGCTTGACCCGCCGTGGGCAGAAGGGGATCGAGGCAAAGAGGAGAAGGCAGCAGCTCGTTGGCATCTAGCGCCGGGGACTGCCGGGGAGCCTGGACGAAACAGGATGGTTGGGCTGCTCCGACTCCGAGCCGGCTGCAGGGCAGCTCTTTTCCTGTGGATTTTCAGCAACATCAGCTGCAGAGCCCGGACAGCCCTCTCGCCCTCCCGTAAGTACCTCGCTTCCGCATTAACGCCGAGTGCTTGGGCGCCCGGGCCGTTGTTGGGGAGGGGGGGGAGGAGGAAGGGAACTGTGAACCTCGAAAGATGGGCTCGCCTTCGGTTTTGGGCTGGTGCGGTCGAGTCTTGTCTGGATGTCTCGGAGCAAAAGAAGGAGCGTGGACTTGGTCAACTCACTGAGAGGTGATGATGTTGCTGGCGTGAGGATGGTGGCGGCACAGAATGTAGTTGGACCTAGGAGACCGGGTGGTGATTGCTGGATGGCCTTTTTTTTGGGGGGGGGGAGGAAGTTTTTCGTTCAGTCTTCCGTTGGATTTGCGGGCACTTGACTTTCAAAAAGCGGAAACGCTTGTGCGGATTCGGGAGGGCGAGCTATTGCGCTGTGCCGGGTTTTGCTGCTGGATTCTTGGGAGCAGAAGAAAGTTTTGTATCTGGAAGCAAAACCAATGCAGTTGGCAGTAAGCCGTCAGCTTTATAATCCAGCCTTGAAAGAAAAGTACTATCACAAAAATTATTAGTAACCGATTGACAGATCCAAGAGTTTTAGGGATGGATTGGAATCCAGAGTGTCTTGAAAGGGACTGATTCTCCCACCAGTGGGGAGAGATGCCTAGGTTCATATCTGGCATGCCAGGAAGAAAAATGCCTGTGAATCTGCAGCATTAGTTAGCAAATATGCGATGAAAACATGTAATTTACTTTTCCAATTTATGTAGAAAAGGGCTCTTCCAGAAAATATCTGTGAGCCATACAAAGATTTGCTTTGGGGGTCTCCAGATTTATTTTTGTCTTCCCAATAAATTGGCAAGAACGTTCTGCTTACATGTGGTTTTCAATGTGTTGGCTGTACGGTTTGTTTTGGAATGCGAGTCCTGTGTGTTGTTTTCCTCTAGTCCATCACTTGGAAGCTTTACCAACCCAAAGCACAAGGCTTTGTTTTTCACCTGACGTACTTACATCTGCTATCTATAATTCAAGAAAATAATATGAGCAGTATGTTTATTTCTAGAGGGGGCAGGATTTAATCATGTCAAGAAGGTCATGGCATTATCTGATTTGGAGGTCTCTGTACTAACCTGGCTGTGTAAAATTCATGGTTTCAGCAATTGATGTAACATACTTTGCATTTGACTGGTGTAACTTTCACTTTACTGTTTGATATTCCAAGTTTGAGGCTTGGCTTAGAAAATTTATGCTAGGGCTGAACTCCCTCGCAAACAAAATGAGATATATGAGATACATTCAAAAGAGTTTGGGTGCAACATCAGAGGTATACAGCTCAGAATATGAATTAAACCATGCCAGGTGACAGTCCAGTTTGAGTCCATTTTCTACATGGAGTCCATACTGAGTTGTGTTGTGCAGTCTAGTGGGTTTATCCCATTGATATTCTGAGTGTTCGTTTCCTTCCATATTGGTGGTAGAAGGTGGTGGGTAAAACAGCATAAAGTCAGGTAACTGCCAGTGGCACATCTCTTCTCCGGCTGCAGCAACAGTGACGAATTCTACTAGAACACTGAATTCCAAACTCTCTGCAATTTTTAGTACAGACTGCTTTAAATGTTGGTTGGTTAGTCTGTGTTACTTCTTGGCACAGTACCATAATACAAGCAAAAGCTTGTTCACATACACCAACCTCCAGTACTTGTCATAATACCATCTCAAGACTGGGTACAAGCATCACACAACCAACATTTGCTCCATATTTTCAAAAGTCGGGCAAGAAGTTTGTGGAAGTTAAAATTCACACATTTTGAATTAGACCCTGGAACTTCCTTCCCTAGAAACCATACTATTCCATTAAAACTCTGAACTTTGCCTGATTTTCAGGGATCTTCCTCCCCTATCCTACTAGAGCCCACCCTATTCAAAAAAGATCTTTAACGCTCAATGTCACATTTTAAAGGGCAGGAGGGCTGCTGTTGGGAGGCTGGAGCCCAAAAATCCATTTCACCTGGCACAATTTGGTGCATTAATGTCTGGATATAAAACAGTACAGATACAGTATCTGTACTTTTTAAGGAAAATTGTCAGATTCACAAAGGACCTGTACTACTGACATACTGTTCAAGTGTCTTAGATTTTTTTTGTTTCTTTGCTTTCTCTTATTATTGCCTTATGATTGCTTGCTGCTATTCATAGAGAATGCACTTATTGACAATGTATTTATAAAAGTGGAAGAAATACTGGCTGGTAACAGATGAGTAGCTGGAGAAAAAAGTCAAACAGTACAAGTACATCTGATTTTCTGAATGATTATAACAAAGTAAAATACATGCTGACATTTAAAAAAAGTGCATGAAACACAATCCTGTACAGAAGCAAGAAAGTATAGACACTCTTCCAAGTGACAGTGAAAGAGCAAGAAAGCAGATCTGTTTTTTGGTTTGTTTGTTCAATAATTTAACAGTTAGTAATGTTTTCTGAACGTGTCAATATGTAAACATTGGGTGAAATAACCTTATTCTCTAATAACCTCTAACGAATAACCTTATTAGTTCTCTCAGAAACAGTATGTTAGATTTATAGCTTCTTTTGTTTTGTTTTGGTTATTATATCTACCCATTCATTCACTTAGGTGCAGAAGTTAGTTGAATGGTAATGGTAGGGAATAAATTATTTTTGAGAACTCTGGAAAAAAAGGAGCTTTTTGAAAGTAAGTTACATAACATTGGGTGTATCATTGAAGTCAGTGACGGAACTCCATGTAGTTCAATGCAATTAGGCTATAACTGTTCACATTTAACTTCTGACCAAATGACCATTGTCTTGCTACCAATCTTGACCAAGTAAACCATTTCAGGCTTCATTAATGTTTTAGATGTTGACAATGAGAAGTGACAGACTACTTTCCTGAAGGAAACTGATTATATGTGTGGTTTCAAGCCTACCCATAACTGAATGTTCAAGTCAATGAAGTCCACACATGTTTTCGTGCACAAGCATGTATTAAATGTATATGAAGTGTTAGGAATGAATTATGAATAAATTGACAGCATGCTGTTGGTGATTTATATGTGCTAAAGTAAAATTATGTAACTCACTGCAGCAAAGTACCACTAACTAACCAGCCATATTACTGGGTTCATGCTAGCTTTGAAATTGGGCATACACCTAGTAATGTGACTGGTAATGTGTTAGTTAGTAGCAATTTAACCTATGCACATGTAAAACACTAACTGCATTCTGTCCGATATATCAAACACTTGACTGTATTCTTTCTGTGCTTTACTGTTGAGAAACATGCTTTTCATTTAGAAAACTATGTGTGGTCTATAACTGGTTTATCTCATTTCTGATTAATACAATCAGACTATGAATTATTCCCTAGAAGTTTTAATTTTTTTTAAGGCAGATCAGTGAGGGAGAAAATACTGCATATTTAATTTTATGTATTCTTCCATATGGTTTGGACAAGACTTTTCACTTACATTGCACTGACTTTATTCAAAGATCATCAAGAGGAAATGCAAGACTATTTTGCATAAAAATGAATTAGATTTGAGCCAGATAAATAAGGTATTACAAATGTTGTACAATATACAGTATAAATATTGTGTAATGTCATGTTCAGTCCTATGTGAATAGTACTGTATTGACAGGAACATTTCTCTAACCCAACTGTAAGCAGCTTTTACTGATGGTCTAATGTGGTCAGCTTTAAAAGCATTGATTTGAAGACTCTTAACATCAAGGATAATGAACAACTTAGCCAGGAGAGGTCATCACAAGCCAAAAAGTAGCATAGAAAAAAAAAGCCACCCTCCCCCTTAATCTGAGTTTGGAATGGACTAAAAAGGAAAAATAAAGCAAAGTATAAAATGTGTGTCTGTTTATGGACTCTTGTTAGCAAGACATCATGCCTACACAAGAAATGTAACCAGGTGAGCACTCTTTTGGCCTTTTGTGGAAGGTTTAAAGCAACCTAATTATGGAGCAATTGCCTTTCACTGTTGGATTCAGTTGTGCTTGTTTATGTGTGACTAAATTCAGTTCTAAGCAAGAACTGGAAAAGAGCAGTTGGAGCTGTTACAATATGACAATTCTTACAATAGGACCTATTAGTATGGCTGAGCTTATGTTTTTCAGGAATAGCATAAAATAAAATGGAATCCTTTCAATATATGCATATACTGTAATACAGGATGAGTGGAATGCTGGTGCATATGTACTATGATGATATGCTAATAAATTCACAGGAATATCAGGGCTGGATAAATACTAGATGACTCTGGAAGTCCTGAGGGTGAATCAGCGGTGCAGAAGCAAGAGGTGTCCTAGGTGTGGCCAGATCATTTGATTTGTTTGAGGCTTCTCCTCACTCAATTTTGACTAAGCTATTGATCTGTTTCTTCAGTTTGTCCTGATTGACAGTACAGTGGTGTCTCGCATAGCGAGGTTAATCCATTCCGGATTAACCCTCACTATGTGAAAACATCGCTAAACGGAACATAAAAACCCATTGGAATGCATTAAACATTGTTTAATGCATTCCAATGGGCCCTAAACTTACTGTTCAGCGAAGTTTCCTCCATAGCAGCAGCCATTTTCGCACCCTCGGTAAGGGAGAGGAGGGCGCGAAAACGCTGCGCGCGGCCATTTCGGGCATCCGGCGGCTATTTTAGAACCGCCGAATAGCTGATCTGTGGGCATTGCAAAAAATGCAAAATGCTTACCGATCGTCGCTATGCGAGTTTTGCCCATTGGAACGATCGGTATGCCTCCGCATTAGCGATCCCGAAAAGGGGATCGCTATGTGGATTCGTCGTTGTACGGTGCGCTTGTTAAGCGAGGCACCACTGTATAAGGGATCTTGAATCTCTCTTTTCAGCCTCATCGTCCCATCAGAAAAATAGGTCGAACTGAACTGAGTACTTATCTATCAGATTTCCCCTGAGATGCTTTAGAATATCATGGCCCCTGGGCTAGAAACTGCAAACAGGGATTACCTTGAGATTAGAAATTTTATTCTTCAACAGATTTAACTGAC